TCACACACATGTGCACACGTGTGCGTGTGTGTGGGGGGGGGTAGTGGGAATTGAACCAGGGGTGCTAAGCTACATCTCTAGCTTTTAAAAAACTTTTCTTTTGGAACAGTGTTTCACTAAATTATCCAAGCTGAGCTTGAACTGTGATCCTTCTGCCTCAACTTTCCAGATAGCTGAAATTACAGGCATCTGCCACCATGCCCAACAGAGTATAGATTAATCCTAATTAATCTTGTTAAGTGATAGATAAAATAATATAAATCTAGACAATAAAATAAAGAAGTTGAATTCAATGTTCTTACTGTATAACCTTACCTATTAAGCCCTTGGGGGTGTGTCTCTATTTCTGTTTCACTTATTTTACACAGTGCCTGTTTTTGTTTGTTTGGTTTTTCTTATTTTGGGTTTTTTTTTAAAAAAAAAAACAGGGTCCTGCTGTGCAGTTCAGACTGGCCTTGAACTCATGGTGATGCTTCTGCCTCAGCCTCAATTACAGGTGTGTGCCACCATGCCTGGCCCATTTGTTTATTGAGACAAGGTTTTACTACCTGTAGCTCAGGCTGGCCTCAACTCATCATTCTCCTGCCTCAGCCTCCTGAGTGCTGAGACTACAGATGTGTGCCACTAAGACACAAGGATATGAGCCCCTACTAGTAGGAATTTGTGGCAGGCTGATGGGACATTTATTAGGGAGTTAGTCTTCTCAAATTGTATCAAAGTGTGTGTATTTCCAAGAAGACAGCATTATTTGATACTCAAAAGTTAAGTATGGGGTGGGGATTTAGCTCAGCAGTTCTGCTGCCTGCCTTGTAAGTGCAAGGACCTGAGTTCAATCCCCAGTACCAAAAAAAGTTAAGTAGTTCTAACAGCTCCAGGTTCATGACATAATGTTATATGTTAATTATGCTACTAATTTAACATTATAATACAAACTGACATAACTCAGTACCCATGATAAGATTTTATGAGGGTATGTGAGCCAGGTGTGGTGTTGCATGCCTGTAATCCCAGCTCCCAGGAGGCTGAGACAGGAGGATCACCTTGAGTTGGAGTGAGCTCAAAGCCAGCCCGAACTGCATAGTGAGACCCTGTCTCAAAAAAAGAGAGCTTTCACAAACTCCTGTTGGGTAAGTGTGTACCGGTGTGCCACACAAGTGTGCACTTGTGTGCCCACCACACCTAGACTGACAGAGGGGTAGGATCTGGAAAGGTGGACGGCGAGGCCACAGCAGCACAGAGCCAATGGACAGGGAGACCTTGTTCCTCCTGCTAACCTAGTACCGAACTGGACAGCACTGCAGGCAAGTGTGTCTGTCTGCATCTGGTGACCAGTGTGAGGGCGACTGCAGGGAGCATACTGCTTCCAAGTATGCATGTATCACAGGGAAGGCTTTTTTAAATTCAGGGTGGCAACTGGTCTAGCAGGTTCTTGTCCCTTCTAGGGAAAAGGCTGTATAAACAGATAACTCTTGTAGAATGTGTTTTGGGTTAACAGATTTAGGGTTTTATGTGAGGACCCTTCACCTAGGAACAGATCATATCGAGAGACTATGAAAGATGCTTTTCTAGCTGATCAAGAATTTCCCCTGTGGTTTCCTCTCTAGGATTTAATAATATCTCAGTTCAAGAGGTATGTGGGTGGAGCTTGTGGAGATGTCAAGCTTAGGAATTTGAATAAGGTACAAGCCCTGGACAGAACAAAAGTAGAAGAATACACCAAAGGTAAGATGTAAAATATGAGAAACTTTCCAGGAGTGGTGGCACACGCCTGTGATCCCAGCACTCAGGAGGCTGAGGGAGGAGAATCACCAGGAGCTCAGACTAGCCTGAACTACATAAAGAAAACCTGCTTCTAAACAAACAAACAAACAAACAAACAAATAAGAGAAACCAAATAAAACCAGAATCAAAAGCTAAGCTCACATATCAGGGTTAAAGCAGAAAATGCTAATAATAGGATTCAGAATACAAAGGGAATCCAGGAAGACTGATATCAAATAATAAAGCTTCTGTATATTTTTTTAAGAGGGTCAAAAATGTGAACAGTTCCCTAGATGAGTGGATTGGGTAAAGCTGGGTAGGAGATGAGGTTACCTCATGTGTCATTTGGCCGAAGGCAACCAACCTTGTTATCTGCCTACACAGTATACTATGGGTTATATCAGCCAGTAGAGGTACAGCAGCATTAAGCAAGTAAATTAGTGTACCTACATCCGTTTAAGTACTTGCTTCTGGAGGAATTCCTGAGAATGAATTTTCTGTTGTGAGGTCTGTGTGTGACTCCCTTGGAAGAGGCCATCACTTGGAGATGTGCGTGTGTGTGTGTGTGTGTGTGTGTGTGTGTGTGTGTTTGGTGGGATTAATCACTTGGAGATTTGTTAAGGAATTACCATGTGACCTGGGTATGGGCCACATGTCTGTAATCCCAGCACTGGGGAGGCTGAGACAGGAGGATCACCATGAGTTTCAGGCCAGCCTGGGCTACATAGTGAGTTCAAGGCCAGCATGGAATACAGTACATAGCAAGACTGTCTCACAAAACAAAGCAAAACAAAACAAAATCAAACCAAACCATCTTGGATTTAAGCACAGACCAAGTAAGAAGGCTTTCTTCTAACTGACCCTGAATGTAATACTATATAATATGAGTATAATAATAAAATAAAGACCATATAATAATATGATATATTATTATTCTGATACAGAGGCTTGAACCCATGGCCTTCATACTGAGCCATGCCTTTTGTTGTGTTTTGTTTTGAGAAAGGGTCTAACTGTATAGCTTAGGCTGGCTTGGAACTCACAGAGATCCTCCTGCTTGAGCCTCCTGAGAGCTAGGATTACGGTTATGCGCCACCACATTCAGCTTCTTTTTTATTTTTATTTTAAGACAAGGTCTCACCAAGTCACTAAGTTGTCCAGGCTGGGCTCCAACTTTCGATTCTCCTGCCTCAGCTTCCTAGAGTGCTGGGATTACAGTCCTCACCACCTTGGGTGGCCAGAATATAATTCTCAGAAAAGATTTCCTGTCAAGAGGATCCCCGCACTTCAGGCCAATGTACTCTCAAACTTCCTCTGGAAACAAGAGCTCAAGTGACGTTTTTCTCCATCTTAATCAAGTCCAGACTTTTCTCTTGCTACACAAAATGACTTCAAGAATTAGTTTTCTTTGCCTCCTCCCCAGAAACCCCTTGCCCAGTCAGCTGAAAGTCCTTATCAGTTTCTTCTGCCAGCTTTGTGCTCCTTCCACTTGGCAGGAGAATAAAGAGATAGGCACAAAAACACATCCTTGTATTGACACAGCCATCTCCAAATCCACGAGTAATCTTCTGTTCTCCTTAAAAAGCAGACCTTTCTCACCAATAAAATCCAACTTCTCTGTTTGCTTTTGTTTCTTCCAGTCTACTTCTCATAGACTTTACTTTTTAACTTATAGTGAAACATATTCTTTTTTTTTTTTTTGGTACCGGGGAGTGAACTTGGGACCTTGTGCTTGCAAGGCAAGTGGCGGCACCACTGAGCTAAATCCCCGGCCCTTGAAACATATTCTTGATTTAAGCATTTTATACCTGTATTTATCTATTCTGGTTTTTGAGACAGGGTCCCCTTACGTAGCCCAGGCTGGCCTCCTGCCTCAATTCTCAATCCTCCTGCCTCAGCCTCCCAAGGGTTGGGATTACAGGTGTGTGCCCAGCCACACTGTGTAGCTTTTGTTCAATGATTGAAAATGTGTTCATTGAAGATAGTTAAGCAAATTGAAGAAAATGAATTATGCACAACCTCACTGGCCATGGTGATAGTGTTTCTGCACATCTGTAGGTGTGCATTGATATTCCCACAGATGTTGAAAGTGATCTCTGACAGCCAGGGGTGTGGCCCTGGTGGAGGCTGGCTAGAATTTGAAAGGCCTGGGTTCAATCACTAGCATGTCAAAAGTAATACTACTAATAATGATCTTCTGGTGCATATTATTTTTAGCTGCACATTTCTCTATACATCTCCTATTCATATTTTTGCAAGACTAGGGATTGACCTCTACACTGAGCTACATCCCCACCCTTTTATTACTCTGAGACAGGATCTCACTAAGTCTCTAAATTGCCCAGGCTGGGTTTAAATTTGAGACCCTCCTTCCTGAGCCTCTCTGAGTGCTGGGATTACTGCCCTGTGCCTAGGCTGGGCTCACAGGTACATTTCAACATTGTTTTTCAGAGGTGGGAGCAAACTCAAGGACACATGTGTATTTAGTAAACACTACCACTGAGCCAAAATCCCCAACCCAGAGTTTTAGGTTTTTATTTTTAGTACAGTATTTACTTATTTGTTTATTTATTTTTGAGATAGAATCTTGCTGTGTAGTTCAGGCTGGCTTTGAACTCATTATGTAGCCCAGACTGGCCTTGAATTTGTGGCAATCCTTCTGCCTCAGCCTCCAAAATGCTGGGATTACAGGTGTGTGCCACATCTGGCAGTTGTTTAGACATAGATTTACATGTGTTGTTGGAACAGGCTTATAATGATCTGTGATCAGGACATACTGAGGGGTCTTTTACATATGAGAATATACTTGTCAGTTGGGTGTGGCAGTGCATGCCTGTACCCTCCTGCCTCTGGGGGGGCTGAGGTAGGAGGATCCAAGTTTCAGTCCAGCTGGGCCAACTTAGAGAGACCTTGTCTCAAAAATTAAAATTAAACAAAAGCTTGGTGATAGAGATGTAGCTCAGTGCAAAAGTCCAGGTTCACCCCCAGTACTGTGCCCAGTCAACTGAGGATAATTTTTCCCTCCTAAGATTTCCCACAAGAGACAGATTTTTCTCCTTTATATCTTGTATGTGTGTGTGGTACTGGGGATGGAACCCAGGGCCTTTGCACAGAGCCACACCCTCAGCCCTTTTTTATTTTTTGAAGCAGGGTCTTGCTAAGTCCAAGCTGCCTAGGCTAGGCTTGAACTTGCAATGTTCCTTCCTCAACCTCCTAGAGTTCTGGGATCACAGGCGTGCACCACCATGCCTGGCATCAAACTTTTTTTTTTCCTGTCCCGGGACTTGAACTCAGGACCTTGTGCTCGCCAGGCAGGCACTGTGCCATGGAGCTAAATTCCCAGCCCTGGCATCAAACTTTTGTTGGTGTCCTCTAGTCCAGGTAAAGGATCAGATACAAAACACTTTTGCCTTTGTGGACCATGTAGTCTACATCATGACTCCTCAATTCTGCCACTATAGTACAAAACCAGGCATGAACAATAGCAAACAAATGTGCTTGCTCTGTTGCAGCATATAGCTTACAGAAACGCATCAGACTGGATTTGGTGTGAAGGCTGGCGTGCCAAGCTGTGCCTGACCACATGGCAGTCACTGTGCAGACTTTACACACAGGACCTGGGGGACGCTACAGTGATGCAACCTCGGCCCAGGAGTGGGGAGTGAAGGTTGAGCATCCAGCATGGTGACTGGCCCTTGGCGCTGGAGTGGCAGCCTCAGTGTGAGTAGGGTGGGGTGGGGCAGTGCACTCCTGTGGTCTCCACCTGCAGGCTGAGAAGGGTACCAAGTTAAAGCCCAGCCTCAGCCATTTAGCAAGGCCCTGTCTCAAAATAACAAATAAAACATTGCTGGGTGCACACCGCAGTGTGAGGTACTGGGTTCAATCTCCAGTGCAGGTAAAACAACAATATGTTTTTGGGTTTTTTTGTGTGTGTGCTTGGATTGAATCCAGAGTCTCCCACATGCTAGGCAAGTGCTCTACCACTGTGATACATTTGTAGCCCCAATTTTTTTCTGGTTTGTTTGGTATTACTTTTTTTTTTTTTAATAGCAAAACACTTACTGGTACATTTTAGGCATATAGAATGATAACACTCATCATGGGGATTTGCACCTGTACATGCTATATCCCCACTTCTTTTTTCCCATTTTCTTCTCCCCTCAAGCCTCCTCCCCTCCCTATGTAAAAGCTGTTTCCATTTTTTCCTTCTATTTTCACTTTTTTCTTGTCCCTTCCTTCCCTTTACCCTCCCTCCTCTTTTGTTCCCCTTCCCATTTGAATATTTTCTTCCCATTTCCCAATATCTATTATACATTTTAGTCCTTATTTCCACTTTTGGTTTCTCACATCAGATAAACAATGTGGTATTTAAACATGTGTGTCTGATTTAGTTCACTTAAGAGTATGGCCTCAAGGTGCATCCATTTAGCTATAACTGTCTGAAGCTCATCCTTCTTTACGGTGGAGTAGTACTCCAGTATATAGAAAAACCACATCTTTTTTATCCATTCATCAGTTGATGGGGATTTGGGCTGTTTCCAAGATTTAGCTATTACAAATTGTGCTGCTATAAACATGGGTGTGCATATATGGCTGTGGTATGATGCTTTTAATTCTTTTGGGAAGATACCAAGAAGGGAAATAGCTGGTAGCCCCAATTTTTAATCTCTGTCTTTTCTGAGACAAGGGTTTTGCTATATAGTCCAGGCTGGCCTTGAAATGGCTCTGTACCCTTGGCTGGCCTCCAACTTGTGACCCCCACCCAGTACTGTGGATTGAATCTAAGGCCTTCTCATTGAGCTCCATTCACAGTATTTTTATTTTTTATTTTGAGACTGGGCCTTGTTACATTGTTAAACTGCCCAGACTGGGCTTGAATTTGCAGTCTTCCTGCCTTGGCCTCCCAGAGTGGGAGGGTTATGGGCTGCACTACTCCACCCAGTGCCCCAACTTTTAACCTTAAACTGCTCACAAATGGGTATTTTATGGGTAAGGAATCATAGCCTTAGGTATATTAAAGAACTTTAATAGCTACTAAGATTCAAAAGCCTTGTCTGCTCTCTTCTACAGTTTTGGTTGAGTTTAACTGTGGAGAAGTAGGTGAAATGAAGAGCATGTCCCAGATTATGCAGATCTGGAGTTCAGATGAGCAGTGGGAACAGATTTAGAATTTCTCCCAAAGCTTGCCTTCTTTTAGTTTCTTACTCAATGATCTTCATTAGGAGCTATTAGTGCTTCAAAAGAGTATTTAAAATAGCAATTGAAATTGTGCCTGGGCCTGTGTTCCTCTCACATGGTGGCTGCCCTCCCGGCTGTAGGCCGTACTTCTTTTCTTAACTTTTACTTGGCCCAAACTTGCTCTGCTGAGCCTGTTGCTTTTCCTATTTCAATAAAACTTTGGTACCATTAAAAACAAAAGTGAAAAAACAAAAAACAAAACAAAAAAACAAAAATGAAAACAAAAACTTGGTGACTAAACACAAATACAATTTTCCTTTTGACAACCCCCCCCCCCACTACTTTAATAATCCTTAATGAAGGTGGCAGGCAGTAGTAAATAAATCGTAAGGTTGAGAATTAACACATCACTCTAGTCAGTTAAAGCCAGAATATGGTAGTTTGCTGTTATTTTTAGGCATTCGTTAATTAATGTTTTCTGCTCTCAGAGAAGTGTGTGCGGACGACTTGAATGTTCTAGATTCTACTCAGAGAACTGTTTTACAAATCTACACAGGGAACAAATATGGATAAAAGCCCCAGAGATTTCAGGGATATCTGCAGGCTTAGAGATGTGCGGCCCACAGAACTACTACACCTGCATTAGGGTTTAAATAATCCCAGGGATGGAACAATAACCAGAAACAGGGATGCTGAAGGCTGGGAGAGAGAACAGACTTCTCAGTGTGTCCATGAACTTCATTGATCCATGAACTTTTTTTTTTTTTGGTACTGGGGATTGAACTCTGGTCCTTGCGCTTGTGCAGCAGGCAGTGAAACCACTGAGCTAAATCCCCAGCCTTGAACTTTCATTTTTTGAGACAGGGTATCACTATGTAGCCCAGACTGGCCTTAAGCTCATCTTGCCTCAGCCTTGCTGAGTGCTGGGATTACAGATGTGCACCACCACACCTGGCTTTGTTAACAAATATTTGTGAATTTTTACTAGGTACCAGGCATACAGTAGTGAATAAAATAAAGTTCCTGTAGGGCCGGGGATTTAGCTCAGTGGTTTCACTGCCTGCTGCGCAAGTGCAATGACCCCAGTTAGATCCCCAGTACCAAAACAAATAAAAATAAATAAATAAATAAAGTTCCCGCCCTTATGGAACTAATATGGCAATAGAGGATATAGATAAGAAATAAACATACTAAATGTCAGGACAAGAGCATGGGGGGATGTAAAACAGGCCAGATAATAAAGAGCAATGTTGAATGCTTTTTAGGGAGGAAGAGAAGGACTCTCTGAGAATGTGACATTTGAGAAAAGACCTGAGGGAATGAAGGTAGCCTTGGAAGCTACTTGGGAGGAAGGCACTTTGGGTAGAAGTGAGGGATGGAAGGAGGCTGGAAAGCACTCAGCAACCAGGAAGGGCAGGAAATGATGCCTTAAGGAATGCAGTGGTGGGCAGTGCTGGCCAGAGGGAAGAGGTTTCACAGGACTTGTGACATACCATCCACACCATTCTATGGCTGAATCCAGGTATCTTGGCCCTGGGAAAAAGAGAGTAATTATAATTATTTAAGTGGTCCCACATTTGTTGTTTTCAAGTTTTTACCCTCACAGGTCATAGATTCTAATATTTTTACTGATTTTTATTTATGTAGGAAAATTGTTTTGAATGTAACAAACTCCTAGCAACTCATTCATTCATTTACTTGAGACAGGGTTTTGCTTTGTGGTTCAGGCAGATCTTGAACTCACTATGCAGCCCAGGCTGGCCTGGAACTTGGAGTGATCCTCCTGCCTTAGCATCCTGAGTGCTGAGATTATAGGTGTGCACCACCACACTGGGCAAATGTTTTATTTTTATTTAATTTTTGCATTGCTGGGTATCAAACCCAAGGCCTCTTGCATGCTAGGCAAGCACTCTACCACTGAGCTTACACCTATAGCCACTGGCATATTATTTTGAAGGTTTACATTGTGACATATATCAGTAGTTCATTCCTTTTTACTGAAGAACAATACTCCATTTTATGGACATACACATTCTGTTTATCCATTCATCTGTTAACTGGCATTAGCATTGTTTCCACTCTGTTTAAAAAATTTTTTTTTTCTTTGCCAATTTTTTGTTTGTTTGTTTTTTGGGGTTATTTTGGTACTGGGAATCGAACTTGGGTCTTTGTGTTTCCACTCTTTATGGTTCTTATAAATCATACTGTTATAAACACTTATGTGTACCTTTGTTTTATTGTTTTTTGAGATAAGGTCTCCTTATGTAGTTCAGGCTGGCCTTGAACTTACTATGTAGCCCAAGCTGGCCTCAAACTGGCAGCAATCTTCCTGCCTCAACCACCCAAGTTGGAGGATTACAGGCACGTGTCATCACACCCAACTTCATGTGTAAGTTTTTGTGTGGCTATATGTTTTTAATTCTCTTGGATATATTTTGTGATAGTTAATTGTGTTATGTCAACTTGCCTTGAATAAGAACTGCCTAGCAGATTAGTAAAGCTCTGCATGTGTCTATGGGTGACTGACACATAGGCTGCAAGCTGAGGAAGGAGGAGCCACTTCCAATGTGGATGGCACCAACCAATAGGCTTGCAGCCTGGATGGAATAAAAAGGGAAAGAGGAAGGCAGTCTCCTCTTCTTTTTTGGAGTAGCTCTAGTCTTTGCCATTATCTTTGGATATTCTTCTGGCTTTCAGTACAGACTCTTCAGTCTTCCTATGCAGACCCTTCAGTTCTCTGACATGGACTCACACTGGCAACTCTGCAGTGGGCTCTAGGTCTTGCTCTTTGGCTGGAGCCTCTGGTTCCCTGGCGTGTAGATGGCCATTCTGCATTTTGCTACACAGTTCCTGAGGTGGCCATTCTAAGCCTGCTTAGCAAACTCTTTATATAATCATATATATTTTTTATATTAAGTATGTTTTTCTAGTGAACCCATAACCGATACATATATCTATATGTAGGAGTAGGATTTCTGAGTCATATGGTAATTCTATATTTAAAATTTGAAACTCCCAGACCATATAATAAAGTAAATGCACCAATTTTACATTTTTATCAGCAATACATGAGGGTTCCAATTTCTTTACATTCTCACCAACACTTGCTATTTTCCTTTGCTTCTCTATTATAGCCATCTTAGTGGGTATGAAATGATATCTCATTGTGTTTTTTGTGTACATTTTGTGTACATTTCAGTAATAACTACTGATGTTGAGCATCCTTTACCAGCCACTAGTCTGTCTTCTTTGCTGTTGCTTTGACTTTTTTTTTGGTACTGGGGATTGAACTCAGAACTTTGTGCTTGCAAGGTAGGCATGGTGCCACTGAGCTAAATCCTAGGCTTGTCTGTCTTCTTTGGAGAAATGTCTAGTTACATCTTTTGCCAATTTTTAAATGAAATATTTGTCTTTTTATTGTTGAGTTGTAAGAATTTTAAAATATATTTTGGAAACCTGTCTTAAGGCCTAATTTTATATTAAAATCTAACACACTGAAGAGAATTCTACAAGAAGTGTTCCCCTCCTTAAAAAATAATATGTCAGTGGCTTAAATTAGTAATGGTGGCAATGGAAATAAAGAGAAGTTAATGGATTTTGGATATATTTAGAAGATAGAACACAAAGGATTTCCTGATAAAGTGAGAGTATGAAAAAAAGGAAGGAATCAAGAATTAGTTTTCCTCAAAATATTAAAAAATATCTAATACCAGCACTCCAGAGGCTGAAGCAGGAGGACTGCAGTGAGTTCAAGACCAGCCTGGGCTACATAGTGAGTTCAGCATGAATTACACATTAGAACTGAAGATTTAAAAAAATTGTTTTTGCAGTATTGGGGATCAAACTCAGGACCTTGCACTTGCAAGGCGGGTGCAGTGCCACTGACCTAAATCCCTAGCCCTAAAATATCCAGATCCCATTTTTTTTCTTTTCAATACCAGGGATCAAACTCAGGACCTTGTGTTTTTGAGGGAGGCGCTGTGCCACTGAGCTAAATCTCCAGTCCAAACTATGTCTCAAAAAAAAAGGGAGGCTCTAATGCCAATATTCATCAAACTCTTTAATGAAATTGAAAGAGAAGGAGTACTCCTAAAGTCATTCCTGGAAGCTAGCATTACCCTGATTCCAAAACAAGATAAGGATCCAACCAAAAAAGAGAACTATAGGCCAATCTCTCTAATAAACACAGATGCAAGAATCCTCAACAAGAGAATGCAACAGACCATTGAAAAGATTATACACCATGACTAAGAAGGGTTTACCCCAGGGATTCAAGGATGATTCAGAATATGTAAATCAATAAATGTAATTCATCATTTAAGCAGAAGGACGGACAAAAATCACATGATCATCTCAATGGATGCAGAAAAACAAAATCCAACATTCATTCCTGATTAAAATACTGAAGAAACAGATATAGAAGGATCTTATCTCAATCTGAGAAAAGCTGTTTATGACAAACCTACTGCCAACATTATATTAAATGGAGAAAAAAATAAAGCTTTCCCTCTAAAAATCAAGAACAAGACAAGGACATTCACTATCACCATTCCTGTTTAACATAGTCTTTGAAACATTAGCCAGAGCAATCAAGCAAGAGAAAGAAATAAAATTGATGTATAAATAGAAAAGGAAGAAATCAAAGTATCATTATTTGCAGATGACATGATCTACTTACAAGATCCAAAAAACTCCAAACCAGAGACCCCGGCAGAGGGTCCCAATGTCCTGCTCAGTGCTACAACACAAGGCAAGAAAAAAGATTTAGAGAAAGAAACAAGGAACTGGGATGGTCAAAGATAAGCAAGCTAAGACCCCGAACAGCCAGAATCACCGATATTTATTGGTGACACAATCATTGTTAGGTAGGGGTGAGGGGGTTGGTGTGGTTGCTAGAGAGAAGTTGCTGATGCAGGCAAGGCTTGTAAAAGAAGGGACAAAGCATTCTTGTGTTAGGAACAGAACAGATCAGATGTAGCTTGAGGTTAAGAATTAACCCTGTCTTAGGGCCGGGGATTTAGCTCAGTGGCCCCATGCCTGCCTCGCAAGCGCAAGGTCCTGCGTTTGATCCCTGGTTCCTCCTCAAAAAGAAAAAAGAATTAACTTTGTCTTTTCAGTTAAGAAGGTTTTAATTCTGGGAATGGAATTTGGATAAGAGTCACTTTGACCTTGGCTGTCATGTTATCTTCTATCAAGCCCCCCAGCTTCATGGACCTTTTCTCTGGCCTCTGCCATGGCCATTGGCAGGGGGGTTGGTACCAACCTGTGCACCATTTACATCGTCCTATGAGTCATATAGTCTTTGGTCAGACTCACTTTTTAAAACAAGCCAGTTGTGGGGTTAACTCTTTACAGCCTGCAATGCTTATGCCCTTCTTTGGGGATAAACAACAGGGAAGTTTCTCACATTCCACTAAAAGACTTCTATAATTAATAACCAAATTCAGGAATGTATCAGGATATAAAATTAACACACAAAAATTGATAGCATTCTTATACATTAATAATGAACTCACTGAGAAACAAATTAGGAAAACAATACCATTCACAGTAGCATCAAGAAAAATTAAATACTTAGGAATTAACCTAACCACGGAAGTGAAAGACTTCTACAAAGAAAATTACATCATTCTGAAAAAATACTAAAGAGGGGGCCAGGGATTTAGCTCAGTGGTGCTGCCACCTGCCTCACAGGCTCAAGGTCCCAAGTTCAATCCCTGGTACCAAAATAAAGAAACTAAAGAGGACAACAGAAAGTGGGAAGATATCCCATGTTCCTGAATAGGCAGAACCAATAAAGTCAAAATGGCTATACTTCCAAAACTGATATGTAGGGGGTTTTGTGGGTTTTTTTGTACCAGGGATTGAATTCTGGACCTTGTGCTTGTGAGGCAGGTGGCAGAACCACTGAGCTAAACCCCTGGCCCAACTGATATATAGGTTTAACACAATCTCAATAAAAATGCCAACAGCATTCCTCACAGATCTAGAGAAAAGAATACAAAAATTCATATGGAACCAGAAGAGGCCCAAAATAGCAAAAGCAATTCTGAGTAACAATAATAAAGCAGAAGGGATTACAATTCCAGATTTGAAGTTATTCTCTAAAGTTACAGTGATAAAACCAGTATAGTACTTGCACAAAAACAGAAATGTTGATCAATGGAATGAAACAGAAGAAGCAGGAACAACACTAGGCACATTCAACAATTTGATCATCAACAAAGGAGTCAAAAACATACACTGGAGGAAACAGAGCCTCTTTAATAAATGGTGCTAGGCTCTGAAAAAAGAGATCAAAGAGGATACAAGAAAATGGAAAGACATCCCTTGCTCCTGGGTAGGAAGAACCAATATAGTGAAAATGGCCATACTTCCAAAACTACTATATAGA